GCACAAGGAGGGGGAGGAAGGAGTGCAGGGAGAGTAGATGTGGCGATACGAAAAAGGGGATGTGGCGGCGGAGGTGCGGAGGGAGAGCGGCAGGGGTGGGTGAAAAGGTTGAGCGCTTTATCGGTCATTTTTGCACATCTCGAAAATAAGACCGATAAAGTTATCGTTCCTATTTTTGCATCATTTGAAAATTGCGAAAATAAAATCGATAAAGTTATCGATCCTATTTTCACATTATTGAAGATTTTTTTTTTTTTTTTTTTTCTGGTAAGAAATTTTGATGTGTCCTTGAGGCAAAAGTTATCCAGTTTATTTTTTCGCATAAGATAGTTTTTTTTTAAGATTTTTTTTTTTTTTAAGATGGTGTGTGTGTGTGTGTGAGAGAGTGAGAGTGTGTGTGTGTGTGTGTGTGAGTGAGTGTGTGTGTGTGTGTGTGAGAGAGAGAGAGAGAGAGAGAGAGAGAGAGAGAGAGAGAGAGAGAGAGAGAGAGAGAGAGAGAAAGAGAGAGTGAGAGTGAGAGAGAGAGAGAGAGAGAAAGTCGATAGGATGAGCAAAGCACTGGCGAACAGGTAAGTCTCCAACCCCTCGACTGGCCTCACGCTACTTCCACCGATTGGATAAGATAAATCAAATAAATATTCCGCTCGAACATCGAAATATACACTACTACACATATTTACGAGTGTGTGTGTGTGTGTATGTGTGTGTATGTGTGTGTGTGTGTGTAGCATGTGTGTGTAACATAAGTTGCGTACGGGCACGACACATCATACCCGCACAGCTCCGACCATGTCGGCACATCGCAGCCGCAGGCAACAAGCAAGGCGCAGGGGTCATTTGCAAATGCGGCAGGGTAAGACCCAATCGTGTGTCCATTTGTGGAGAGGGCGAGACAAGCCGGTTTTGCCGAAGGTAAGTGGCACGCAAGAGGGGCGCAGGACGAAAAAAGGAAGTTGGGCGAGGGTCTGCTTCATACGAGGAATCATCACGTCTAGCATATTTGTATTCGAGTCATTCCGTACGACATCCTAGACAACCCACAGAACATGTACATAATTACCCCGACATCATACCGTCCTTCTCTTTTTCAATAAGCGAGGAGGAGAAAGAGTGGAGAAAGAGAGGAGAGGAGGAAGATTACCAAGAGGACGAATGGGGGGAAGAGGCGGAGGGGGAGGAAGGAGAGGACGAAGGGGAAAAAAAGGGGGGGAAACAAAAAGGTAGGAGGACGAAGAAAGATCAGAGCAAGAAAAGATCGGAGAAAGAAGAAGAAGAAGGAAAAGGTAAAAGACGAAGCAAGACCTTCCATACATCCCCCGGTGAGCCCATAGATGCAAACTGTCCTCCACTACAACAGAAAAATTCCCATGAGAAATGAAAGATGAAAAAACATTCCATAAAAAAAAAAATCTTCATATTTATAAATTATCATTCCAATGTTCGTCAAATTCTAAAATTTCCAGTCTTATTTGATAAGTTCCCGTCTAAATATAAGTTTTCTCTTCCAACTACATCTATTTGTTCAAGATGGAACGAAAGTCTGGACCAGTTTATGAAATGTTTTAATTAAATTTTCATTCCACCAGAACAAATATCTTCTAATTTAAATTGGATTAACCTATTTATGATTGGAAATCCTTACTTAGAATAACAGTCCAGTTAACATATTTAATGAACTCATCCAGACTTTCATTCCATATCTAGCATCCAGTTCAAATAAGAAGGGATACCCCATTCTTGGAAGGAAAGTTTTCAAGTAAGACGAAAATTTTTAAAATTGGAATGACATTTTTTAAGATAGAATGAAAATTTGAAATTTATAATGTAATTTTACTATAGAATGATTATTTAATTCAAGGAAATTTTTCGGTGTAGTCTTTTCCAAGCACACACCATGATAAGCACAACCATCCAAAAAGAAGAAACAAGGAAACATTTCACACGATATGACAAACATCCAATAGAGTTCTAAAACAATCATTGCCACAGTATTCCTCGTTGCCATGTACCAATCATGTAATCCTCCGACTAACATGGGGAAAAAAAAGGGAGAGGATAGGGAGGAGAAAGGTCTTTGGGCGAGATAGGAAGAATGAGGGGGAGGGGAAAGAAAGATCCTGCTTCAACTCTATCCTTCAGGCCCATCGTGCTCCTATCTCCGCACAGACCATCTCGCCGAATCGTAGGAAGGGCATGGCAAATCCCTGAAGCGTTTTTCTCCCCCATGCCATTTGGGGCGTCATCAGAGGGGGGAACATCTTCCATTGTCTTTGGAAGGTGGAGGGGGTGTGGAAGTGCGAGGGGGAGCGTGGCGAGGGGGGG